CCTAATAACGAGATTGTTTATTTCTCGAGTTACATCTCTGGATTGCACTCGCAGACGTGGAGCGGCGTAAATGAGACACTTTACCGTTTGTTATAGTGTAGCGCACGGCACCGCAACCGTGAAGTTTAGTCATAGCGCAAGTGGTTAATACTCTATTGTCATGATGGGTAATCTATAAGCGACTGATTAGGACTAAATGGTCTGCAACATATTTTAATGTAATTTAAATAACAACCCATAAAAATAAGGAAGTATTTTTTTTTTGGTAGTGATTAGAACTTTATTAATCAGGCATTCCTTAAAGCATATAATTACATATTTGATATTGGGATCGATTTTGCAGTTTGTATTTTAATGAAGAAATGCTCACATTCTTTTGAATTTGTAGCTTTGAAAGCTCATTTTGTGTAAAACATTTGTGTTGTATAAATTTTAAATGTCAGAAGATTTCTTCAGCTTTTACTGTAATTTTTTTTAATAGAAAAGACTAATCTGTTTAAAATTATTTGAATAGCACAACATTCTCATGAAAACAAAATTAAAAAGTGATTTTAGACTCGATTTTTTTGTTTTATTTTAATAATTGCATAACATTGTACAATATTTGCACAACTGTCGATAGTGCTGCACACAACTGAAATGAGCATATTATGCATAATATAAGGATAATAAAAATAGTAAATGTATGATGACAAAGTGGTATTTTATTATCGGTGAAAAGTTTAACTGCAAAGACTGAATCAAACTTGTCAAATCAAAGATGTGTGATAAGGTTTCAGAGTTTGTTAACTGTCTATACTTGGGTCAAAGTTTGTTTTGTTTCATAGTACCTGTCTGAATAAAAAACTACTTTGCAACAGCAAATATAATTTTATTATATTGCACAACAAGAAACTAAAATAGACAAAGTAACACTGAATGTGACAGATTCACTTTACAGGACATTTTCACAAATAATGAGCAGAGTAGAAGTTTATGAAAATGTTTTATAGAGGCTTTTGCATTGATGATTAAATGCATCTGCAAAATAAAAAAGCTATAAACAAGCTTTATATTATAAATAAGTTTTAAAAAATTATAAATTATGATCCTCCATTACTTATAACAAATTTAAAATGCAAAATAAAATAAAAATGACTACCATAAGCCAAAAACATTAAAAATATGTTTTCACATCCAAAATGTACTGGAAGATATGTGAAAAAGTATAAAAATTGCATTTTAATACAGTTCACTTCAGAAATATGCATAGATTTCATTTTTCCTGTATTGTATTCATTTTATAGTTAATAAAGAGAAGAAGTTATATTGTATTTATATTTTCAAGACTTCATCATATATGAACCATCAATGTTTTAAAAAAATTATGCTAATTATTTCTGCAGAAAATATTTCCTAAAAAACACACCCTATACTGAGAAGAGTTCTCATAATTCAAGTAAAAATTGCATTCGATACATCTTGTTAAAAATTAAATGAATTCATTTAAAATATCCACTTGCATATCGCATAACTCTAGCATATATGCAATATTTTGCTTTTCCAGTTATATTTTATTATAACTTTTAAAATTGGAATTTTTATTTTTATCAACCTTTCAAGAAGAAAAAGCAGCATTTCTTAATTAAATTTCATTTTCATAAAATCATGGCTGTCAAATTTTTCCTTTTTAATACTTGAAATATATGCTACTGTTGTTAATGCATTTTTTATGCAGTCCTTTATATCCTGACAAAATAAAAAGTTCTTATTAATTGAAGAGGTGTACATTTTTTTTCCTCAGTCCTATAAAAATAAATTGCTAATCAGCATAACAGTCATTCATTTAAAAACAATCTGTTGTTTTTTCATTAACATTTTGCAAGAAATGTTATATATTTTCCTTTGCTATATATTTTCTTCAATTATTTCGTTTGCTATATATTTTCTTCAATTATTTTTATTTTATTCAAATAGTAATGCACTGTTTAATTATATATATAATAATCTTTCTACATTTAAAAAAGAAATATAGAAATAATCAAAAGCAAAAAACTTCTTGACCTAAATTTAATTTATTTAATAGCAAGGATTTGCTTATCAAATGAAAACACTACGTATTTTTATTCTTAGAGCGAAGAAATGAAACAACTATCCAATTTCTTCAATAAATATCTCCTTCAAAGATAACTTAGAAGTATTTGATTTGCAGAATTCAGAATCATTCTAACTCCTTTTTTAGTTTACATAGGTATTGTATGAATAAATATTTCTTACAGTGGTTTGCCATGTTTTTGACTAAAGGGGACTGGGCAGGAAGAAAAATTCTAAGACAGCAGTGGTTGTCATCTTAGAGAGATGAGATTCATTACAGGTTTATTTCTGTTTGCAGAGATACTGATCACCTTCAGAAGTCATCATGACAGGGATTATTGCATACTGAATATGAAGACTGTATAAAAATGGTTATAATGCTGTGATATATTTTTGAAAATTGGATAAAGAAGAGAAGTCAAAATGATCTTTAATATCTCAAAAAAAACCCAAAGCTTTCTTATTTTTGTATCATTAATCATTTTGAAATTATATTATATCCACTTTGGAATAATAGGTATAATGTTCTGTGTTTGTACAAACAAGATCATATGGAGATCTACCTTTTGTCATTATTTTTGTGTCTTGTGAAAAGATATTATCCTCCAAAACATGATTTGACAAACCATATAGATCATAAGGTTGTAACACGGATAGTACATCGTCATACAACAGCATCATGCTTTGTAATGATACCTTGTGAGAGGACTAGCTTTTTATACTGCTTCCCCTCTCCACAGTTTAAACTCAGAATTGCTGCACTTTGTACTATTCATATACCATAAGAACACTTTCATAAAAATGAGCTAAAATATAGCATTAAAAGTTAAATTAATTTTGCTTATAAGAACAACATGAAAATTAAAATTTCTTACGACCTATCACAAGTAGTTAACAGCACATCTAAGGAGAACATATGAAAGCCATCTACTCCTCTCTCATATAGAGCTAGTGAGACATAAGCTGATCCCTTTTCAGGAAAAACTGACTACACTTGAATGGTGCATGATTTTGACAGAGGTAAAATAATGTTCCTTTTAAGCTTTTCAATGTTAGGTAAAAATATATTTGAAAATGTTAATACATAAAATGCTAGGGGTCTAGTCCACTGACGGCACAGCACTGATTTCTTATAGTAAAAAAAAAAAGTTTTATTATTTAGCTTGCATATAAAAAAAAGCGTATATAAGTAGATATTTTTATTAATTAAAAAAGTCAGCTTTTTTTATCACTTCATACATTTCACACTCAAAAAGTACGAATTTTTCCCAATTTTCAGATGTAATTCAGAATCGAACTGCAAGCCATGCTGCATCAGCCCTCACACATACACACACTCTATGGTCCACTTTAAGGAAATCACTCACCAACCATTTCATCTGGCTTTTTACATATGTCTATAAATCTTACGCTATGATCAAACATTAGATGTTAAATGAAGTTTATTGGTATGCATGTTAAAATTCTAGCAGCCTTTTATAATATAGTGAATATGTGATACTTTATTGCCTATATCAGGAAGAGACAAAAATAAATAAATAACGGTTTACAAGGAAGCTAACTGCTAAATTAAATTAAGCATAATTATATCATAATAATATAAATTTTCTAACAAATCTGCTTTGTATATTTAAAAATAACAATAACAAATATGCATTAATACATGCTGTAGGATGTTATACTCCAAAACAGCGAAAAGTTTAAAAATATCTGTGTGTTTTAAGTTTTGAAATTAATATGTATAGCTAGTAGAAGTCTTTCAGTGTACTGTACAATGACCAGCACCTCCGAGTCCCTCAAAAACATTCTTACTTTCATATCATCCCACTAGCTATACAGTTTGAAAGTGGTACTTAAAACGATGTAATTAGATATGCAAAATTAACTATTACAACTTCATTTAGTAGGGTATTAGACATTCTATTCAGTTCTACGTATCTATAGTAAATGAAATTTCAAATTTTCATGAAAACTTTAATGCAAATTATAATTTTAAAATTCACTTGATATTTTCTTGACTGGTCTGGCAGAATGCTAGTCTAATCATTTCCTAAGATAATTCAAGAGAAATATTTTTTCATTTAAATTCAAGCCAGAAAAATTAAAGAATTGCATAATATAAAATACTGCAAAGCAATTGAATTATGTTATAGACAACAACAGTAAATAAATATGAAATCTAATTCTCTATTACTTCTAATAAAGCATGAATAAGGGATCTTATTTGGCAAGAGGATTAGAAAAATTATTATCTTTGCAAAGATGGGGAATGAAAATTACAAAATATATTTCTAACAGTATACTATATTCTATAATATAATAATGTAACATATATTCTTGAACAAATGATGAATAAAACACAGCAGCAACTGGTATATCTACATCTCTTTTTTGTAAAACATTTATTTAGTCACAATAAATATTCCTAATTTTTGTTACACATTTTATGATGTTTATTTTCTTATTTATTTCATATATAAATGCTTATAGCTGAAAGTCGCTCTACATCATCTATGTTGAGAGACTTTTAATATTTTATTTATTTATTTTTATAGAAATATGGACCGTTTCTATTATATTCATAAACATGATTTAATGAAAGAAAGCTTTCCCCCCCCCCTCAATCAGATCTGTGACTACTGGTTAGGTTTATTTGGTACGATTTGCAGCTTCATTGGTTAGATTTATTAATTAAATTTCTTCATAAAAATAAGTATATTAATGAGTTATAGTGTATTTTTAAAGTGGGGCTGTTGTATTATACTTCACTGATATAAACATTCATAGATATTTGAAATCATCAATATATTACAATTACCACAAATTATGTAAGCTGTTTTTAGAAAAGCTTTCATTCATAAAATGCTATACACAATTGATATGTGTATCATGAGTATAAGTTATCAAAAAATTCCAAGTATACAAGAGAGAAGATTTGAAATTCTTTATACAGTTAACATTTATAGCAGGTTAATGTAAGACAGAAAGCACCACAATTGAAGCTTACAAATTACAACCTTCAAAGAAACAGACACTGTCTGATGTGCCCTGCTGAACAAATATGCTTCCCTCAATAAATTTCACTTTTATGTTTGTATACATAACTGTTGATGCTTTCAGAATCTCAGTATGTAATTATACACTATGCAGTGACATCAACAGGGAAATAATTATTTTGCTGAAGAAAATATATACTTAAATTTAAAAAGAAAAATATTTAGTTTATAAGTATTTTTAATTTTTCTATAAATAAAGAATGTTCTGAATTAGAATGAGACAAATTTGATAGTTTTAAAATTGAACATTTACCTTTCAGATTAAATCACAACATACATCAGAATATTATCCAATTAATTATTTTTGATATGCACATTTAAATTACTGCAAGAATTCCTTCTGGACCTATCTTATGAAAATATGCATCCTTGTACTGCTTCTTCAGAAATTTACTTTAAAAGTCAAAAGTATATTCTCTTGAACAGAAATAAGTTTTTGAGTTCTCTTTCTCATTGCAGTACTTGCTTTTATCAATGCTTCCAAATCTTTCAATACTTCTAGCTTAGGGTTTATTAGGGACATTATTAAATAGACACAAAATCAATTTTCTGGATTTTCAAATAGTGGCTGGTAACTAACAGAGCTGTAGTTAGGGTTTACTGTGCCTGGGGACAATTGAAAATTTTGTGCCCCCTCCTGTTTACCAAGAAGGGAAATCATTTTATTTAAAAACTCACAACATCAATTTGGTACCCTCCCTCTGGATGATGTCCCCCCTTGCCCCTCTCCCTTCGTCTGTGGTAATTAAGCCTGCCACAATAAAATACTTTAATTTTGATAATGATGATTGGTGAAAAGAATCAAAAATCTTTTAATGCACTGTTTAGATAAAAGGAGCTGTTTGATAGACTCATCAAGAAGCATTGCTCTTTTTGTATATGGCATGTCATAAAATTATTTTCCTTTAGATTTCATTCTGAAGAGCACAGAAACAGAGTTAGGGAAATGCTGAATGGTTAATATTTAATGCCACCACTCAAATTAGGATTAAACATAAAATACAATTTAACATTTATGATCAGTTTTTTTAAGTTGCAGAATCAAGGCTTCTTTTATTCGAAATCAGCTTTTTGTACTTTTTAACTGGCATTTTAAGATTTTAAGCCTAAATCTTCTCTAACTCAATGAATAATTGATTTTGATATCATCAAATTTCAAGCAATTTGACAGATAAAAATACTTTATTTGTCAACAAACTTGAAGATTTTCATAACCTTATTTGCTTCTTTTTTGGATGAAAAATTTTTTGGATTTTTCTTCTTTTTCCAAGATTTTATTTAACATCACCAATAATGCCCATGCTCTTTACGCTATTTTCAAATTCAATACAGCTTCTCCACCCCCACCCAATTTGATTGTTTTTGTAATGCTTGAACACAGGAATTCTCCTTTGGTCATTGCAAATTTAAAAGCAAACTATTTTTTCCTTAAAAGTTTACTTTAAGTAAGCTGCCACTTTATTAATGGTTCTAGCATTTAAATGACATTGTTATCCTTTTGATAGAAATGAATCACTGTTACAATGACAACTTAAAAATTTTGCATCTTATTTTCATTGACTAACATTTAGTTAATATGATTGTCTCATTGTTGTCTCAGACACTCTTTATCCACTTCTAATTATAAATATCATGACTGAATGGAAGAGAAATATGCCAATGTAAAATAAGAAACTAGACAAAATAATAACATTAGATTTAAAACTTATGCCAAAATAAGATTGCTTTTCTACCTAAATTTATCACAACTTATGCCCGTTCTATGAACAGTTTTCCAAGTAATACAACTGCTTCCTCAAAAAATAAAAACTTAGTTTATAAAATAGATAAGAAAAAACTAATATGAAAAACTTATTGCTTTCACAAAGTCGCAAAGTCATGGTAAGGATTGCATCACTAATGAGTAATAAAAGATAAAAAAAAATATCCAAAATAGTAAAAATATAGAGAACAATCTGTATATGCATCCAATAAAAATACTGCAATGGTGTTAAAGAATTATTAAAATAAAGTTTGATTAAAATACAAACTGTAGCTTGAACATTTCACAAATAATATCTTCTCTAAATGCTTTTAAATATCAAGCCATACAGCAATTTTAAAAATTATATACAAAATTTAAACATTCAAGTTTCACAACTAAAAATATTAGCAACATTCTCAGTGAGAATTCACATTCTGATTTCTAACACTAATTATGTATTTCCTCATTATATAGATATTACAAACAAAAAGTGAATCTAGATCTCCTCAGCAAGGCACATCATTTCCAAAAACTGAGGTTCAATAAATATTTGGCCAAGAACAAATAAAGAAGAATTGTTTATCAATTGCCAGGGGATTGTTGTTCAAGTTGAAGTTGAACTTCTTCTGGTAGAAGACGCCTCCGAAATTGGGGTGTTGCCACTAAGTATACAACCAACAAGGCGAAAAGGAATACCGAATAACCCAAAAGATTTCCAATTGTGGCAGAAGTTGACCTTTCTGAGTATTTACCGCCACTAAAAATAGAAAATAATAAATAAGTAATAAAACTTATAATATACATATAGTATCATGACACACATTAATTTATTGAGAACAAAAAATATTGACTTTTCATTGTCTATAATTCACAAATGAAAAGTTTTTTTTAAATGTTTTAAAAAATTATATTTGTTATAGATTAGTATTACTCCACAGACATTGCAATAAATTAAAAAAGTACTAAATTAAGTATGCAAACAACAATAAATATAACTAAAACAATACAAACAGCTGTAAAGTAAATAAAACAAAGATATTTATTCAAACTTTTCTCTATGAGGAAAAAACATTACTTAGACTAAAATGACTTAAGAGGCAATATCAAAATCTCTACTAAGAGAAGGTAGAGGATATACATACGCTAGAGGATGGCATATTATATCATATATCCATACGCTAGAGGATGGCAATGATTCTTTAACTCTTACTGTGATTAAATGCAGAGCAGGAGAAATAAAATCATATTTTAAAAAAAATCCTATTTACAATAACAACACAAGAAATATCTTTATTCACTGATTTCTTTTAACTAAATGATAATGGTCAGATCTCGGGGCAAATCAAGAACTGATAATGTTTGTTTACTTGATTAAGTCTATCTGCCTATGAGAAGGGATGCCTTCATGGAGGACATTTTAGGGGATATTGGCGATAAGGTATTTCCTGCAGTTTAATGTTTCAAATATACCGTCAAATTCGGAGATCCCAATCCCATCACATAAGTAGTGTATTTTTCTCAGCAAAAGGTCAGATACTTTTCAAACAGCCCTTGGACTTGTTCCTTAATTTTATACAGAAATTGTTTCTTGTCCCATTACAAAGTTCCGCTACCCGGATCATGTTGATGGCTCGAGAATTCCCAGTAAACCAAAATCTTTTCATTCTCAACAACCTCTTTATCACCAGTGATCTCTAAGTCTCTAACGCTTTCTGTTTATCACTTTCTTCACTATCACTACTTTGCATCCGTTAATTGACTAATGATAGGAGAATTGTCATTACGATGAAGATTTCAGTTATATCATCTTCATTTAACGTTTCTTCACATTTCTTCACATATTCTATTAATCAGAAAATTTCACTGTTCTTTTCTGTCAAAGCAAATATGCTCTTTTTGCGTCTAGCATATTTTTCAGCGCTTGGTGTTACCAATTTATTTTAGCCTCTTTTGTAACGCAAACATGTTTTTCATCTAATCAGAGCATGTTTTATTTATTTATTTTCTGAAATGGATTTTTATGATTTGGAACTAGCAAGAAATGAATAAGTCGCTATCCTATTTCTTCAAGAAAGAATAACAAAAAAGACATAAGTAAAAATTTCTTCTTGCAGGAAAAAAATAAAGGATATCTGCTGCGTTGTGGCAAATTCTTTCTCGCTCAAGTTCCGAACACAGAGGCAACTACACTCATGTCATAATTCATCAACCATGTACAAGAGAAACTGATGAGGGTTCAAGGCTGGATAAAGACCTTTAAAGGCTCTAAGCATGTAAAGTTTTCTGGTGCTCCCACATAAATTTACACCTGTTTTTTCTCCATTCCTTCTCCTAATTAGTAGAACAGTGTTAAACACCTGGGTGCCTGGGCTTAAGGTCCTACCCTAAATTGAATACGGTTAAAATTTCAAATAGTTGCAAGACAATAAAGGTAAGGGGTATAAAAACATGTGAAAAGAAAATTCAAATGATATCACAGGCATGACAATAATTTTTCTTGAAGCTGTCAAACTGGTGATGAACAAAAATTCAGGTGCTAATCAGATGGCACGAGCATTACAATAAGTAAACAGAGATCAGAACGCATCGGAACTGCGCATCTAGCAGATGTATATAAGGAGCTATTCTCAAACTGTTGTTAAAAATGTCTGTTGCATTGCGATTTAGGATACCTTTCAACGACTGAAAAAATGCCTCGCCGCAGGATTCGAGCTCATTACGATCAACTGTCAGAGTTTGAAACAGGTTGTATTATTTGATTGAAAGAAGCAGGTTAATTGCTGGAAGCGATGCCACAATTAGAAGATGTTGCACCCCACACAGGCCCTCAACCAGGAGTTATGGTCTGAGGTGCCATTTCCTTTGATAGCCAGACCCCTTTGTACTGAAATTTTAATCATTTTCTATTCTGTACGTAATCTTCCTATCCGCCAAATTTGTCTCCATCAGAAAACTCCTTCTTGGTGCGTCAATGTTTTTGTTATGGTGTTTACTTCCATACAGCTAGAGATTTTAGTTGATTTTCCTCTTTTTCGTAAATTAAATAGCCATTGTTTTGTCTAGTCATAATCTTCTAAATTTTTAGCCATGTCTCAAGTGCTTGGATGCAGTTTTATAAGTGTTGGATTCCTAGACTAAGAAATGCACTTTGAGCACAGATCACTATAATTCCTTCTCTTCTCAGTCTTGGTTTAGCTGCACCACACCTTCTGTATTAAAACTAGCAATGGAAAATTTTTGTGGTGCTCCCTTAATTTGATGCTTTAAACATGTGCTTATTTTGCTTAATGGTTAATCCAGCTATGTCAGGGTTTAACTTCTAAAACAGAATTGCCCTAAAGAGAGGCAGGCATGTGTAACAGAAAAATAAACAAATACATAAAATAATTTATAAAATAATTAAAACTTAAGTTCAATAAATTACAGAGATAAATATATTAAATTAATTATATATATTTAAATAATAAAATACCGGATCTCTTCTCCTTTGAGACTCCAGCTGAATTTAATCCTGAATATACAGTAAGTATAATGTACTATAACAAGGGACAAGTAAAATAAAAACCCTTCTTTATCCAGCACACCAGTGAGAAAAGACTAAATGGTTAAACTGTCACTGAAGAGAATAAAGACAGTGCTAGAAACTGTATGAGTCTATGGAGGAAATTTTAATGGAGATGTATAGGCACGAAACAAAGACAAAAGTCCAAAACTTTCTGTTTTTGCTTAAAAAACATCAGAGAATTGCCATAGCGCAAACCTCGGCAAGACTGACTGTCTATTTCTATCAAACGCATCTTCTCAGAGTTCCCTTTAGATATTTAGCAGTAAAATTATGTGTTCCTGCAGAAATTTTTACCGCAGTTTCTTCCTGCGCTTGTCTAATTTCCGCTGGCAAATTAGGCAAGTGCATATTTTGAAATCAAGTTTAAGACAAAAAATATTGATTTGTCTATGAAAACTGTTGGAACTTGGAATAAAAAATAAAGAACACATGTGAAAATAGCGATGTTGCTTGTTTCAAGCATGGCTGTTATGTACACAGATTATTATGGTTTCCAGAAACTGTAGCGATCTCTAGCAAGATGGTTGCGATAACACGGAGTACCACGAAATCACTTTACTGTATTCTGATCTCATAACTGTAAAATCACCAAGCAAATATGAGGAAATCCTGGCTTTTATAAAGAGTTAATTTGTGAGCTTTCTGAATGCAAACAAATTTCCTTCTTTTAAATTTTCCGAGTTTTTTTTTTTTTTTTTTTTTTTAATAAAATTTTAATTCTGCGAATTGTTTAAGTCTGCAAATTACTTGAACTGTATTCCCTCCCAAGACGGAAAATAAAGCTGTTTGTGAATTTTATACCTTATATAAATACCAGCAGTATTTGTACGATTAAGAAATGACACTCAAAGATTGAGGTACTTACGTACTATCGCAACCATCCTAGTGGAAGTAGCCAAATTTTTGGAAAGTGCCAAACTTTGGCAAACATGCGCATAACCATTTTTCTGCCAACCATGCTCATAATAACAATTTCAGTCAAGCAACGGCGCCACATTCTTTCGCGTTTTATTTTGTTCTAAGTTCCAACGATCTTTGTATAAAAATCGTGATATTTTTGGCCTTAAACTTAGTTTTAAAACATGAGCTTGTGGAATTCGCCAGCAATGGAAGAAACTACGGTAAAATTTCGGCAGTAATACAGAATTCGACAGACAAATTTCTAAAGGGAACAACAAGGAAATGCGTTTTCTAGATGGCCACTTTTGCCGAAGATAGCACAAAGCCGAGTCTCCGCAATTCTCTGATTTTCTTAAATGAAACAGATCGCTGTGTACTTCGGGAAAAGAATGACGAAAAAAAAAAAAAAAAAAATTGCAGAAAGATTCGAAGAAGAATGTAAGTGCTTTATTTTTTAATGTATGACATAATACTTATTTCATATTTGTATTTTAAATTGCTAAAGTAAGTTTTCTTTTCATATGTCGATATTGTTTACCAAACTTACTATAAATATTGATAATTTGGGAATCTATCTAAAAAAGGAAAACCATCAGCTTGCCCATGCTAAGTAACTTTTACATTTTCATCCGGAAAAAAAAAAAAAAAAAAAAAAAAGCCAAATCGCGCCAAGATAGTCGCGACAGTACGTAAGTACCAAGATTGATTCACTAATTTTATCAGTATCAGCAGCATCCTTTTTCTGAGTTAATTTTATCAGCCTGATTATACATAATCAATTATCATAATTAATTAATTACTGGACTTCTTCTCATTTGGAGCTTCGGCTGGAATTACAGTTTCATTCAAAAACTAAGAAACTGCTCAGCCGAGCTTCGGCTGATTTCAAGCAATATATAGTATAATGCCCCCCCCCAAGAAATGATGGAAACAAAGACCATTTTTTTTTACCGCCAACAAATGAAAAAAAAAATGCAAAACGTTTAATGGTCATTTAATGAAAATACAGATAACGCTATAAATAGTCAAAGATTACAGAGGAAATTTTAACGGAGGATGTGTAGGTATGAAAACGAAGAGAGAAGAGTGCAACACTTTTTGACTATAACCCCTCGCCAGTGTTAATTCTCTGTCAAGAAGAATGTGCAAATAATTCTCTCGACTTTAAGGACTGTTCTGTAAGCAGAAAAGAAACGTAAAGTTATGCAAAAGTGAATTGTTAGCCCTGTTATCTGCTTACATCATTAAAAAAGGTATGAAGGTAACCTTTTCCAAAGAAAGTCCCTAGCGTTGCAATTCCCAACCAGGGTGATTGATCACTAATGATTTCGGCGACGAAAAATTTTCCAGCTCTCATAAATTCATTGCACTATCTGTAGAATAAATACGAAAGTAGTAAGTAAGAATAATAATGTGGGTTGGGGCTTTTCTTTCCTTATAAGTCTCAATCTCCAAGTGTCCCGCAGAAAAATAAGCATGACTTCTAAAGTTAAAATTTATTTTTCAGATTTACTTATTATTAAAATAAAATTTTCAATATCAAAATCCGATGAAACTGTGCTTCAGTTACATAAAATAGGTGATGGAGCTCTCTTAGTTAGGGTTGAGGTACGCTTCCGGTGAAATTGCGAATTATTAAAAAAAATTAAGAACTGCCGGAGGCAGGTTTCATCGCAATTTAAGCTCTAATTATTTTGTATATTTCTGA